CATAATGTACATTAAACTCAATCAATCAATTAAATGGAGCGTCCTGTGTCCATTGATTAGGTTACTACTTGCTGCTATGTCAACTTCCCAGAAGCCTCGGTTTCCATTAGAGAGGTCATTTTTATCAGAGAGTCAAGGCTGATGCTCTAGTCCAGTGGTTCTCAACTGGTGGGTCGCGGACCCGTTTCGAGTAGGTCGCAGATGTGAGTGAAGAAAACAAAATTGAAAAAAATAAAAAATCCTTTTCTTTGAGGAAAAAAGTCAAACTTTTATTTTGTAGGCCAGATTTTCTAACGCTGTGCATGCAGTAGGCGTTGGAATGGAAGTACCGGAGACCATAAACGGTTTTGAAAACTTCTGTCACGTAGTGATCATCTTCTCAATAAAACATCTTTGCTGATGTTTTTTCGAGTCTTCTGGCCAATCAGAATCAAGATTGTCGCCGGAAGTCCCCTCGGAGAATAACTTTGCGGTAGAACTATTCTTTATACATCCATGGGTACAACTTCAGATCAAAATGAACACATGATGAAATATGACCCCCGGTTTGATGACTGACAGGTCACAGAACAATGGGAGCTATCTACCCTTATCCACAATTTAAAGTAATTCACACAGACTATGTCCTCTTTGCTCTTCTCTCTGTGAGGAGCAGCAAGTTCAGCTTCAGAACAAAGTGAAAAACAAACAATGGCATCAAATATTATTAATATGTCGGGTAGTAATATATTTATTTATTTATTTTCTTCTCAGAATGTACCAGAATGCGTAGTTTATATGTTAGTATTTCTAAAAATCTCCTGGGGGAGAATCCCCCCAGACCCTCCTTCTGGGGTTGGGTTTTCAGCTTGTGTGCCTTTTCATGTTATACAGTTCAGCTTTGATTCCATCATCTCATTAAACCTTTTTTTAAAGCATTCTTTAGTTCTGTGAAGGGATATAAGGGATATATGCACTGTAATTCACTTTAATTAATATTGTATGATGAAAAGCGTATATACTACTGCAAGATTTTTTTTGTTGAATAGATTTGAGTGGTTCAAAATTTTGGAAAAAGTGGGTCCTGAGGCCTGACCAGTTGAGAACCACTGCTCTAGTCCTCTCTGGAAAACTGACAGGATACATGTCTACATGCAGTGGAGGAATGGAGTTCAGCTAAGCAGTATCTTGTCTCAATTCAATTCAGCTTTTTTGCAGGTCTAATATACGTGATATAATTTCTCTAAGAATTAATAAAAGTATAGGGGACATCTTCAGGTCTATAAAATGTCAGAAAATAGCTAAATATGGCCATCTAAGTTTTAAAAGTCTAAGGTAATGTCTTTTTAATGTCTTTTTTAACCAGGAAAAAAAGCAGGAATTATCTATTCAAGAGGCTGAAAAGGGTATTTTGTCTAATTTAATCATGAAAATTGGTTATTTATCAATTATAAAAAATGCTTTGCATCATCTACTAATCGCAGGTCTAATATAGAGTATTCTGTATGTGCTTGTGTGATTTAATGTAGGTTTGTTTTATTTTGTTGCCTTTGTTTTTTATTCCGTGCAGTACCGTCCATCTTATTCCATTTATGATTTACAAGGCATCTTCTCATCTCCCCCCTCTCAGACACACAGGCTAAACAGGTTTAAATGTCAACGTGTCAGCTCGAGAGTGAGTCATTACATGTCTGAATGTTTGACTACGAGCACCACACAGCTCCTATATGTTATTCTGGGGCTGATTGGAGTGTGACAGACAGGATTAAGCCCCAATGTTTCTTAATATAACTTAAATTAAGGGTCAAATCCCCTCCTCTGAGACACCTGACACACTCCCTCTGCGTGCTGTCAGATATACATACAATTCTCTTTCTAGATTAACATGGATTTAAATGCAAGTGTGTTATCCCCCCCGTCGGCAGAATATTTGGAGGCCACCACCATTTTAGAGGAATAAAACACAGTAAACGCCATGATACTTTCTATTGACTTTCTTCTTTTTCTCGTCCCTCTGGCTACTACACTGTGCATACTCTTGGCACCTGTCAGCCACACACAATTACAGCCATTAAGGGATTACCTTTGTTTGGCTGCAGTAGTTGCTGGGAGGGGCCAGTGGAGCCAGGCTGGTGACGCACTGAAGTGGGAGGTCACCGGCAGCACTGAGTTCGCCTTAAGGGGCTTGTTTCCATTCTTGGAGAAGGAGAAGACTTTGAAGAGATAATAAGTGTGTGGGGAATGACTGAGGGGGAGGATTTAGGTAAGGGCAAAGAGGACAGTTCTCAGATGAGGCAGAAAGCCATAACAATCCTTTGTTTCAGTCCCATTTCCGCAGTTAAAAAAAGGAAAGTCAGCGCTGTGCTTTACATGTTAGCGGTACCTGCTTCACTAATTCAAGACTGAGTGATTTAATGCTTTGTGATGCATGAATCACCCAATGTCTTTCGTAACAAAAATGTATTTTAAAACACGGCAAGGAATGCAGCTAACGGCCCTCCTGCATTTACACAAATAAAGAACCAGTCAGTATTGTGTATTTATTATCCCAAAAAGAAACAAAACAAATGCAGAGCGCAGACTAGCCCACAATTTAAAAGTGATGCAAATTGAAAACATTTCTGATTTTAAATAATTTAGGATTTGTATTATCATGTGTTCTTTCGCTTGTCTGAGGAGAAACGAAAGTCTATACTAAAAAGGTAGTCACTGACTCCCCTTGCTTAACAGCCAGAAGGATAGCTTCTGTTCACATACTGTCTATTTTGCCAATTCAACACCCAACGGGGCCACTTCATTTTTTGTTTCAAATCCCTCAAGGAAATAAAAGGCTTTTTGAATGAATTTTCTGAAGGACAAAACATAAATGTGAACAAAGATTAAAAACAACTACCTTATCAAATGCATTCTCATAATGAAAAAAGTGAAATGTGCTAAGAGTGGCAAGACTTATCCTTATTAGTAGTCTTGGGTGTCCTGATACTTAATTTGACCTACAGGTCTGCCTTTACTGACATTACCAAAATGTGTTCTTGGATGGGAACCACAAGCTGCCACGTGTTGGCACAGTGTAACCACATTATTTGCACATGATGGTGATGTCCTATTAGCACGCCACTTGACATGACATTTCACTTGTAGTGAGAGTTGCAGTACTGTCAAATGTAATATCTGGCGTTGTTGTCCGCCCTGTAACAAAGTCTGATGAACCCAATCTGTTAACAAGTCAATCTGCACCTGGAGGAACTCTGTGCCTTAGCTCCCGCACACACACATATGCACACACACATATGCACACACACACACGCACACACACACACACTGTCAGATAAGCTCAGTGAGGCCTTTAGCAGGCACTCTTCAGCTCTGGCCATATACGGCGTTGTAAACGGCCCAAATTTGGACAAGGATTCCAGCCAGATAGTCGTGTGCCCCGAACGTGAGGCCGCTGTGTGTTCATGTGTATCTGTTTCCCTTGTCAACGCTTGTGTTGTCATAGTAACCCCAGGAGAGGAGCGAGACAGTCCAGGCACAGTGTTCAGTGATGGGGGGTGAGGGGATTGGGTTGGCAAAGTTTGGTTTGGATATTGCTTAGTGGTAATTGGTCTTGGATTTCAAGTGTTTATTTATTTCAACAGCTGCCAGTCAATGAAAGACACTGTTGTCTTTTCATTTCCATTAAAATATTTATGCAAATGTCCATCCAACAAGATAAATGTATTCTTCAAAATATATAATCATGTATTTCTGGATAACAGGAGTAGTTGAGTGGTTAGCAGTATTTCCCAACAATAAAAGGGTTTTTACTGGAGACATTTGACACTAGGGAAAGTCCTTGGCAGCATATGTTTTAGGGGAATTGTCTCCTTCATTATACCGGGAACCAGAGAAAAGGGACAGGAAATGTGGGACTGGCGATGACCTGCAACAAAGATTCATGGTGAAACCTGAACAGTGGAGATATTGCGAGAACATGTTTGGATTCCTCCTCGGCCAACTGAATGCCACCAAAGACATTTTACTTGGCTTTACACATTGTTTTTTCATTCATTATGCAGAAACCTATAGGTATAACACATATATACAAACAATGACTGTACAAAACTTGCTTGGTGCAGATTAGAACTTTTTAAATCATTGTTTGCCTTTCAAGCCTAGACTGTTTTGTTTCATTATGTAGGTAGAATCACTGCATCTCCCTCTTTATATGTCATCGAATCCAAAATTAGATCCCCCCCCCCCCCACTTAACAGCTGCTATTTCTGTCTGTGGGTATATCTATTTGACCAGTGCATGTGCTTCTGATGTGTCAATCAGTATCAAACCTACCTGATATGTTGTGTTTAGACTGCTAAATCTCAACCCAGTGTCTGGACTTCCCATTGAGTCTATGTCCTGAAATAATGTAATCTGAGATGCCCTCTGCGAAAAATGTAGTGAACCTTTTTTCAATGTAGAGCTCAAATGGTTTTACTTGTATTCAGATTTTCCTTGAGGTGCTCCAAATGTCCTCTTCCACGCCCTCATGTCTTTATCCAAAAGATGGTGTACATTCTGAAGGCTGTCCCTAGAACAAAAAAAACGACACGTATTCTAATAAAGGAATAATGAAGAGGTGCTAATTTGGGGGGCAACACATTTCTTTTACTTTTGCTTAAACATAGATATTATCACACGAAAGAAATGTGTTTAATGTGCAGTTCAATGAGTGATAAGCAAACGCAGTCTTTGAACATTTTTTAAATGCTTACTTTTTGCATGAAGCACCAGTAAATAGGCACAGCACCACAACGCCTCCATCCATCAGCAGTGCTACGATATGTGGTATTTCAAGCTCCGTCTGCAGAAATAGCCCAACAGTTCTGAACGCTCATAGCAATCCATCCGAAAAGATGCAATGCTCTTTCAATGCAAGCGGATTGTAACCATCCTACTGACATAAGCTCATGTATTTGTGCACACACGCACAAAAAGGGCAGTACCTTACTCACCTTTTTCTTTTTTTTCCTTTTCTCTCTCAGGCATGCATAGATGACAATGTTGACATGGTTACTTTCCTGGTGGAGAACGGAGCTGCCATCAACCAGCCCGACAATGAGGGCTGGATCCCCCTCCACGCTGCAGCCTCCTGTGGATACCTGGACATAGCAGAGTGAGTATCAAGAGGCCAGTTTATTCCGTTTCTAAGAAGCAGTAGTATCTGTTTCATCATGTTTGGTTTCAGTTAGCTCACCCTTTACATCCTATTATTTTATTTTTTTGTAACTGTAGCACTCTTCATTGTTGCTTTCAGAGGTCCAGCTGCTACTATACAATTTATTTGGATTGCAGTGCACAAAGTGACACAATGGCCGACACGGCTAGGCTCCAGCTGAGGTCTACACTGTCCTGTCACCTCTCTAAGACCCCCATTAGTGACCTCTGTCCTGTCTCTATATTGGTGCTGGCAAGATGGATTGTCTACTAAGAATGGCCTAGTCTTGCAATGTCAAACCCTTTAATATAATCTTGTTTTTACCTCAATTAAATGTGTGTGCATATCCAACATTCAGCATTTGTATCAGTCAGGATCATTTGAGCTAGCATGGCAGAATCAACCAACATAAGCCATTTTTCTCCGTAGCACACAGTTCTTGTCACATTTTGACTGCAGCAGCGGCCCATCTGATGGCTCAGACACAGATATAGTTAGTGATGTAATCAAATATGGAGAGATCAGGCGGGCTATATCTGGAATCAAGCTCTAGAGTTTCACTGTAGTATTCTCTTGCCCCTAGTCCTTTTCAGGTAAGAAGTCTGCGCTCAGGGCACAGAACACAGAGATGTTATCGGAGTATATTTAAACAGGCTGAAGGAGCTCAGTTGTACTCATTGTTCAGCACATAGGGAGTGTGCTGTGACCTGCTTTACTTCTGTGTTACATTACAGGAACATGAAGATTTAGCCTTCCTATTGATGTCTCCCAAAGAGACTGAATGTAGGAATATACACAACCATTTAGAGATTCTTTCGAGTTAAATTCTCTGAATCTCTGTGTCCAGTAGGCCTCATGAACTCTGCATAGGCACTGGGCTAGTTTTACAGAAAACAAGACGTTTTTTGTTGTCGCATAATGAACGAAAGGGCAAGTGTTTGGCCTGAAACTGGTGACTAATGGAGATATCCTGTCATAGAGAGAAACTCTGCTGCTTGTGTGGGTGGTGCGCTCTCAGTAGACACATTTTAATCCCAGCAGGACTCTAAGCTCCCAGTGTCACCACAGGTTAAGGAGCCCACAGTCAGACTCCACACCACAAACCATCAAGTACTGCTGTTCCAAAATAGGCAGAATTGAAAGTCCAATTAAGAAGATATAAAACTTTGTAGCGTAACTGCGTCAGTTGGTTGCCATTTAGGGGGGGAAGTCGTAAGCTCTGAGCCCGTCTCAAGTGGTGTCGGCCTAATGAGAAGGACCCGAGTCTCACCACAGCTTAATTGGAAGCAGCTGAAGTCAAGATGTTGAATGGGTGAAAAGGCCTTAAATCTCTGCTGGGGGGAGGACAAAAATATAAAGCGTTAAATCAGTAAGGCATTGTCCACACATATGTTTGTATTCTTTCAAACTGTTTTTGCAACTTAAAAAATTATAATTATATTGCTGGAAAGGCCAATGAGCAGGTTCTCACACTCACACACCACAAAGACATGCAAAAGGTGAGTTTTCAGTGACCTAAAAATGCCATGTGGGTGTGTACCAAAAGCCAAAACGCATAGAAGAAGCCAAGTTTTGGAAAAAAATACTTGTTGACTTGCCATTGAATACTGTGTTTGGTGCTTATTTTGATTGTCTGCTTCCGTTACGGGTTTTAGGGTTCAACTCCAGGTCTTTAAAAAAATTATGCAGACAAAGACTTATGATGTTTAAACTACATCACCAATAACATTTAGACATTTCCACAAATTGCCCGTTCATGTAATTGGGGTACACTTTTCGCTTGGGTGAACTCCACTTAACACCTCGTAATTTGTTAGGAGACCACCTAGTTGATCCTGAGTCTTAAAATTCAGCACTAAAATGGGAATGAATGCTTCCATTGCATGTAGTAGCAGTGATGACTTACTAGATGGTAGTTTTGTGTAAAACCTGGAAAGTTTTGCACAACAAACAGCCACACACCTGTCGGGATTTGTGCCACTCCTTATTCATTCTCCTCTTTTTATTTATTGTTTAGGTGTGGCACGCTCACTCTGTTTGCACAGCCTTAGGAAGACCCTCTGCAACTTAAATACCAACACGTGAGCCATTTGCAAACACATATTTGAAGATGTGCTTTGGTTATTTACCCTTGTCATATAGTCTGCTACACACGAGCAAAAGCTTGCGGTCTCTTCTTTCATCCCCCTGTTATTGATTTTTGCAGCACAGAAAAAAATGTCAATGTTGTTGGGAATTTGTGACAGGCAAAAGAGATGCAGAGATGCAGACTGTGATGTGTGGTCAACTCATTTTGGCACTGAACCAAAAGTAACATTAAACAGCTCCTGTCCTTCAACTGTTTCCTCTTCAGTTAGAGGAAGTGACAGTTGACTCTACCTACTTCCTTTTCACCCAGACAGAGGCTACAGTTTGACCTCAAACTTTTCAGTAGAAAAAGCAACCACTTTGGAAAGTGTTATAAGGATGTTTATATACATATCATGCAGGGTCCTATGTAAAATGTGTGTGTGCTTTTTGCAGGTATCTCATCGCCCAGGGTGCCAGTGTAGGAGTTGTGAACAGTGAGGGTGAGACTCCGCTGGACATCGCAGAAGAGGAGGCGATGGAGGAGCTCCTTAAGAATGAGATCAACAAACAAGGTACAGTATTAAAGACATCTTCAACTCTGCTGTCTGGTCTATGTTTGACTGATGGGTCTCTCTTTCTCTCCCAACTCAAAATATCAAAAAAACCTTGGTATTAAACCGTATCTTATATAACTACTTAGGTTTGGATATTTTCACCTGTAGTCCAATACTCAGTGTCTTCCACATTTTAACTTAAACAAATATAAACAATATTTTATTTTATTTTGTCGCTGTGTTGTTGGTTATGCAAGCTGTTAAAATAAATGTACCCACCTGTATGCCGGTTGAGAACAGTTATTGTTTTGTTATGTACGAGAATGTTGTCAACAGAGTTTTCATCGAGTGTCAGTCACCTGCTGTTTTGCACTTGCTCGCCTGAATAATTCTTACATAATATAGAATAGTGATCCAGCTGTGTTGTGAGCACTCATGTGATGACTCAAAACTGATAAGTCAAGTTTTTCTATTCTGGGATGGGGCATTCTTAAGATAATGAAGGCCCTCCCTTATGGTTAAGGGCCACGCACAAACGTGTCAACTGGCCCCAGGCCACAGGGGTGCACCTCAGCTCACTATTTGCCTTTTTTATAAAGATAGCTTGACATTACCATATTGAGTGCTCTGATCTGCTAGCGGTCGTTTTTTTGAAGATTTTTGTTCTCAATAGTTTGATCACTGATCTTCAAAAAGGCGCATCAGGAGAGCCTATCAGATGACTCCTGAATCCTACATTTAAATGTTTTCAAAACTCAATTCTCCAAGAGATGCATGCACACACACACACACTTTTCAGCAATTGTTGGAATCGTCCCAGAAATACTGATCTGAGCAACCTTACTACATTTATATACATGGTCATTGATGGAAGGTGTGAAACGCAACTGTGCACAGGTTTCCAATCATGAGAGCCCCATTAGAAATGTGTATAATAAGCACATTCCATATGTAATATACACCATAATGCCTCCTCTGCAATCATACTATTTCAAGTGTATTGTGCTCTATTGTTTACTTTCTAGTATCTGTAGCAACCCTTAAATAAACATTCTCCCTGTAACTGTCAGTCTCCTCAGAGTCCTTTAAGTCAAGTGTTTAAAAGCACACAGCATACAGTGATAATTACACCCACGGTGCTGTTTGCATATTACGCTCCTGGTCTGTGTTGTATAACGGCGGTGAGACATGCAATCAAGCGAACCTCAAGTATCTTGGCCAGCGGCAGTTGTCAGCCTTCATTTGAGATCCCTGACTGATGTGCTGCGCTGCCTCCTATAAGATCACTGACAGACCCAAAAGCATACTTCATTTTCATTGTTCATACACTCATCAAAGCCAAACTACTGAATACTTTTTCATTATGTATTCAAGTTTGAGCTTTATTTATTCTTCAATGCAGGCTTGCGTAACACTGCTTTCGAAGACACAACTTCAGTGAAGAGTGAATTTGCAATAATCCTGGCCTCAGGGCAGCTGCAGACAAACCGCAGCTCAGGCCTCCGTGTTCGAGGTAGCAGGCAGCATTATGCAACTGGCTGTTGTGTAACGCTCCTGTATGATTGTAATGTGATTTTCTCCTCTCAAAGACATACAAGTCATGGGGTTAAACTTAAGTAAGTGGTTTCTCCTTGGCTGGGACAACCTCTAGATCCTCTCCTTGACCCTGATTGGGTCAATTGACTGGACAGCCACCCCCCCCCTAGCCCCCTCCCTCCTCCCCTTTAGCTGCTTAATGAGAGCTGCTGCATGTCCTTGTAATGGGCTGAAGGTGGACAATCTCATAAATATTTCCACATCACACTATGGCTTGTAACGAGAGGACACAGGGTTGACTTGTGTTACTCTGACATTATTTACCTTATCTCAAAAATAGTTGTTTTGCCCTTTTTTCAAAAAAACAATACCTCTGAGAATCCTTGTAATGCTTCAGGCTAGATTTCTGTACATATATTTCTCCAGAAATACTGTAGGTATATTGAGGTGAAGGAGGAGGAAGGTCCTTTTTAGGTCTATTGAATTTTCTCCCTATCTTCTCGTGTAGAAGATGTGCTGTTCTCTTGTAAATCTCATCTTTGAACCGCTGCCAACTCCTACACTCAGCTCTTGTTCTGTAGTCCTACTTAGAGGCCATTAGGCCCCCGGCTTTTTATAGACTCAGTGTAGGCTGCTTCCCAAGAGATCACGGGACGGATCTCTACCTGGACGTCTCCCATTGCCTACATTAACTGAACTGCCATAAGGAGGTTTAAGGTTAATTTCACTACATAGCATTTATGCCCTGTACTTCCTCCTATTTGAAAGAAAATACATCCCAACTCAGTTTGAATTATAGCATTTCTGTGGTGTCCCACCTTTAATGCTGGTAATTTAAGAATTACACTTTATAGTATGCTCTTAATCCAACATTTAAAATCATGCATTTTGAAACCACTGTCCTACACCTAACTAAGCTGCAGTTTTGTAAAAGTTTGATTTATGATTCAGATTTGTATACCCTTTCTTTTTCTTTTTTTAAATAAAGGAATGTGACCATTTTATGACGTGGATACTAAATTACAGCTACTCTGATCAGCCACCCATGTTGAGGCAATGGTTCAACCCCTGTCAGAAATTCAAGCTTGGTTTGAAATGTGAAGAATGAAACTTGGAAACCAGTCAAACATAAACTCAGACACCGAGTCATCTTCTTCCCATTCGTTTTCACTTTCTTAGACGTCAGCCCACTAATGAGAAACATGTCCACCAGTTTAACAAGCCAAATAATCCCAGTGCTTTGCTCAGTTTAAGCCAGTGTGCTGTAAAGTGGATTGTCACTGATTTTGAGGCCAATTGTCAAAAGATTATAGCAGGTGTCTTAGTGTCTTTGTTATGGCTCAAGTTCCCTCTTCGTGCTTAACAGATCTTCTTGTGCTCATCTCCAGCTAGCAATGGCTAAACCCCTGAGTAGAGTAAGACCTTTCCTCTTCCTGGCCTTTTCTTAAGCAGAACTCGCAGACACAGATGTCCTCTTTCATTGGTTTAAGAGCTTGAGGCAATCTTTAAGCTTTCTTGAGTGTCAGGAAATGAGCGATGATGTATCCTCGGGAGTAGAATAAAAAACCTATACAATCAGCTGAAGTTCTGGCTCCGACCCCAGAGCACTTCTTGGATCACTGTTTATGTAGTTTAACACAGTTAACACTCACGCAGCAGTACATTTCAGAGCGTCTCGTGTTCCAGCCAGGTGTCAACAGGACAATACCGGCCTGTTTTCACTGCTGCACTGCACGCAGCTTATGGCTTAGACATATTGACCCACTTAAACGGCTGAGGCCTGAGTTTTGCAGCCACTATTTCTTCGACAAATTGACAGAATATTGGCACATAACCGTTTGCTAAAGTGCTTTACAACACCCTCTAGTGTTGAGAAAGGATGCCAGAATAATGTCATGTCTGCGTTTCCTCTGTAGAGCCTTAAATGAAATGGATAACATTACATGACATGGATAACATTAATGGAAGCACTGGGGTTCACGGGTTGAATCTTGTGTAAAAGACTTGTCATAATTGCGGCATCATGGTTCCCATGTGTCCTGGAAAACCTGGAAAGCAGTTAATAAATGTTTCAGTCGTTGAAAACACATGGGAAAGGTAAACGTTGTTGCCATGGAAAATTATTTCAACATTTGCTATTTTCATTTAGCTGAGAATCAACTACAAGGCTCTCTATCTGAGATCCCAAAAATCGATAAGTGTAACTAAAAGGGAGTAGTTATAATATAGTTGGATAACAATTAATGGGAAAACAACTGTATGTAAGTTAAGGACTAGCTAATTGCGTTTTTTTTCTTTGCTGGCATTTTATCTTTAAATGCTGCATTGTTTAGGTCAAACTGACACATGACTTAAAGGGCCCATGTCATGGCCATTTCCACTGATCATAATTCCATTGTTGAGGTCTACTAAAATAGATTTATATTGTGCAATTTTCCAAACTCACATTGGTTTCTCATACAGCATCTCTGTAAACTACGTGTATTCACTGAATTTCACTCTCTGCCTTTAAAGGCTCGTTGTAGCTCCAATATCTCCAGCCCCCACCCTCCCTGTGAGCACAGTGTGCTCTGATTGGTCGGGACGTTGTGAATCGCGCTGAGCTCCGTGGAGGTGTTGTTTCCTTGTTAGCGATACACAGCCAAACACAGCCAAACTCATCCTGAGCACACACAAAGTCACAGCCGAAGTAAAAACAATAAGTGTGGCTTGATATTGAGTAAGAAAAAGGTTGATAAACGCTGTGAGAATGGGTCTGCAGAGAGAATTTCGCCGCGATCCCAACTGTCTGTTTATCAGCCTGCAGCCAGGGAGGAGAAATCAGCTGAGCTGCCTGCTCCCTGCACACAGATGTGTGTGTGAGGAAGTCCGTGGATTGGTCAATTTGGACCAATCAGCAGGGGCTTAACGTAACGGCTCCACGGATTGGTCCATTTCGTTCCGGGTACGGCTTGACATCATGCCGTACCCGGAACGAAATGGAAGAATCAAATGGACAATGACGTATCTCCAACGAGGCGTTTTGGGGAGGTATTTTCTGTGTTAGAGTTTTACTCGCTACAGGGTGTACTTTGAGGGTTTGTGACTCTGCACACCGTTTACATGCATAAAAACCCTCATAACACACAAGGGGACGGGTAATAACCGGAAAAGCATGACATGGGACCTTTAATATATTAAACTTTTGTTTTGCTAGGGTATTTGCTTGATTCTATGAATGAATCTTTCCTCCTTTCTAAGCATTTAAGAAATTATTTTTGTATATAGTAGCCAAAGACTGCATGTCTTTTAACAGACTTCCATAAACAATAACATGGTGGTGTTTGTCCTATCCGTCTGCTAGGTAGATCCTCAAAAAAGATGAATAACTAGCTCTTGAAAACCAAGCAAATATTTTACTCGTAGCTTTGCATTGAACTATTTAGGTTCTCTCTTAACTGTGATCATTATTGAAAATCTAAAATAATGTATCAAACACTCACATTTTAATCTAGATGTAAAACGAACATTTTCCTTGACCAATACCTTGAGTGTGGCATGTTCACGTTCCTCCATTCTCTGATCTAGGAGTCACAACTTGTTCATAAGTAGCAGGTAATCCTCGAATGCCTCGTTGACCGTCTCTCTCTCTCTCTCTCTCTCATCAGGGGTGGATATCGAAGCAGCCCGGAAAGAGGAGGAGCGGATCATGCTGAGGGACGCCCGGCAGTGGCTCAACAGCGGCCAGATCCAAGACAGCCGGCACGCCAAGTCCGGAGGAACGGCGCTCCACGTTGCTGCTGCGAAAGGATACGTCGAGGTTTTAAAGTAAGCTTTTGATTTCACAGGTAGAAGAAAAATATAACAACCAACTCTTCTGTTACATAAAGCCCTAACTGTAAGTCACATTATATAAATGCTATCTATGTTAAGGCCTTGTGTCGTGCGTTTCCTTCGTTAATGCCAGACATATCTTGGTCTATGCATCTTGTCAGTGATTTGACATTGTCTCAGTGGGTTGTTAATAAGCTCCGCTGCTCGAGGAAAGGAACTGCAGCCACCTGTCCATCTGGTCTGGGAACCCAGCCAGCACACTTCATACTGCCATAGAAAGCTCTTAAGATCTCCGATGACTCCAATATACACAAGACAGCGATCTAAATGGTTCCCCCATCATAACACATTTTGCCAACCTCATTCTTTTCCAGTTTAGGGAGGATTTAAGATTATCAGATTATGTGTTTTGGTATCTCATAAATCTGACCCAGGGTTACAATGCTGACGTACTTCTAAAAGCCTGGACTTTATCAGCACCTTTTTTTAAATATTAGTTTACAGAGAGCAGAGAACCATATTTTCAAATTCTAATAAACTTGTTTTTGTCTCTCCTCTCACTCTCCACTCCTTCATCGTGCAGGCTTTTAATCCAAACAGGGTATGATGTAAATATTAAGGACTTTGATGGCTGGACTCCTCTCCATGCATCAGCACACTGGGGCAAAGAGGAGGCATGTCGGATACTGGTGGAGAGTCTCTGTGACATGGACCTCATTAATAAAATGGTAAGGAAATGGAACAGTCATGAGTCCTGTCATTAAGAGATGTGCAATCCAGATTTTTAGATACATTTGATTTCTTTCCCTCAGGGTCAGACTGCTTTCGATGTAGCAGACGAAGATGTTGTGGGACACTTAGAAGAACTACAAAAGAAACAGAATCTGGTAAGTCATTATTGTAATCTAATCAAATATACATGTTATTGTTTACAAGATTGTTTTGGTGTCCAATATTGTATGCTTTCCCGTCTTATCTCGTGTTGTATATCCTTTTTTTATATATTCCAGCTGATCGGTGACAAAAAAGACGTTAAGAAATCTCCTCTGATTGAAATGCCAACCACTGGGGATAACAACCAATCACTGAAACCGATCAAGAGGTATGTGTTTAAAGATTTATGGTGATGATTTGAAACTACTGCCTTACTTAGTGTGAGGATTACCAAGCCAACTATACCAAAGGCATAACTAAATTCTACATTCTCTATCTACGTCAAGTTTTCTCACCGTTACTGAATAATGTCCCACACTGATGCTGTAGTTCTGTACTGACGGTGTTAAATGTATTTGTTGCAGCAAAGAGACGCTGCTTCTGGAGCCAGAAAAGAGCGCCCTACGCATTGAGACCTTAGAGCCGGAGAAGGTGGATGAAGTAGAGGAGGGGAAGAAGGACGAATCGAGCTGCTCCAGTGAGGAAGAGGACGACGAAGATTCAGAGTCGGAGACTGAAGCAGGTACTGTGTTTGAGGGTAGTATTGAGATCCAGTACTAATGCCATACTGTAAAAGTATTCTGTTGCAAGTAAGTCCCGCATTAAGAATGTTACTTGGGTAAAAGTAAATAAGTGCAGTCAGCAAAATGTAGGAAAGTATTAAACGTAAAAGCAGCCAAGACGGAAACGATTAAAAAAAAAAACACAACAACTAATTAACTCAAAATATTCAAATACATTTGAAAATAACTTTAATGTTTATGGATGCCAATTAGTTATCTCTCAATTGGCTAGGTGATTAAAGGACTTCGTTGGGTTTCTGTAGTCTGTTGGCTAGTTACAATTCTAACAAAATATGATATTGTATAAACTCTTGTGTTTTTAATGCAAATGTAAACTCTTGTCTTTTTAACTAAAGATACAAATAAATGTAGTAGATTACAACATTGCGATGTTTCTATAGTTGCAGTAGTACATTGACGTAAAAAATAAAAACATTATGCAAGTACAAGTTTATCAAATTTGAACATAAATGCAATACTTGAGTGAATGTACTTAGCGGTTTGACTTATTTTAGACTTCAATCAGTTCTCCAGACTTAGAATTGACTGGTTGTTGGTTACATTTGTATTTCATTCATTCAGCTCTGTCTTTCGATATGTGTCACCAATAACAGGTTCCATACTTGTTTTGATTCATTGTTGTTTGACTCTGGCTCGTTTCTTTCTCCCCCCTCCAGACAAGAGCAAGCCTGCAGCATCGGTGAGCAACAGCACGACGCCCGCCCCTGCCGACATCCCCGTGTCGCCTCCAACCAGCCCAACCAACCAGGTGACAACTCCCCCCTCACCGGTGAACATGGTGCGACCTGGTGGACGAGCATTTATCATCCTCCCCTGCGCCGACAGCTGCCACAGTGCTGGCTTCAAAATAAGACAGATCTGACTGAAATTAGCAGCTAATTGATTTTAAAAAGCCCTGGAGTAAACTAGCAGCTGATGTGATCATGGTGCTCCCATCAAAACACCAAGAGCAGTATCACATCAACCGTGTTCTACTGAGACACAGCGGTGCCTCACTCGATACACAAATCAGTGTAATTCACCATCTAGTTAGTTTTTCTCCCACTTGAACGCAAACTCCATTTCACAGCTGACTAGAGATACTGGGGGTTTACATAAATGAGTTTGCAGTTCACACTCGGGGCCATCACAGCAATAGTTGTCCCTGCTTGTGATTTGCTCTTCATGTCGCAGTACAATGAGCACACACTGCTAACAAATGTCACGGAGGCCCTGAGAGTGACATTTAAAACTGATTGTTGGTGGCGTTGGGGGCAAACACTGCAACAGGCTGAGCAGTGGGGATGATTAATGGCCGTTATTCTGGATGATGGTAACAGTTCATCATAAGACGGGAAACCAGGAGGCTAAGAGTGGTTTAGTTTTTAGGAATACAACTAAGGCTTGCATGGGAGTGCTGATTTCCCACTTTTGAGTCTGCTGCCCTCTGCTGGCAGAATGAGGCCAAGCACTCAACTTGCCAAAGTGGACACATGCTTCAAATATCTTACATTTAGCCAAAGGATATTGTATAGAGTATATTGTTGTAAATACTCATTTATATTATATGAAATACTTTATATTCATTTACATTCACAGATATAAAACGGATGCTATAAATATATATGGTTGTATTTAAAGATTGGAACCGTATTGATACTAATTAAAAGTGACATAAAATAATAAGTAATAAAATAGTTTATGAGATTATTATATTGTCTTTAAAAATATATTTTCTCTTGAGTATGGACAAATTATTCCCAGTGAAATAATATAATGCCCATCCCAACTAGAAACTTTAAAATCTACCTTCATCCTCCTCTCATTTTTCCTAAAGCTCTCATGTATGGGATACACAAAAGCCCTGACGCCCATTCCTTAAGTTATTATCATTCCACACTCCTGAATGCAGCCTAAATGGAAGGGTACCTTCACAGTTTTCTGTTCCCCCCCCCACCCCACAAGTAGGCCACCTCTCCAAAACGTCCTAAATGTTGTTTATTTTCTCCTGCTTCTGTTCGTGCGATGATCTCCTTGTTCCAATCCTCCTTTGAAGCCTAGTGCTCACACATCACAATGTCTTCTGTCTAACAAGAGTGAGCAAAACATTAACAACGTCCAGTTTCGACACTACGAAATGTTTGTTGGACCCGTCACTTATTCCAGCTGAAAACTATACTGGTAGCCCCCCCCCTGGTTTGGCAGTAAGCATTGTGTGGTGTGACTAGGCCTTACAAATCTGTCCTTGCCATGTAGTGTGTTTCTTTTGCTGCTGCTTCTGTTTTATTCTGGCTTTTTTCTGTCTCAACCTCCTCCCTGCCCCCCCCCCTCGGCGTCTTTCTCATCCTGGGCTCTTGTTGGTTGGCTTTAGTTTGATTGTGTTACTCCCCTCATGCCTGTGGCGGAGCCAGGCTGTCCTGCATTGTGGCGTCAAGGCTTGCGCAAAACTGGCATATCTCTGTTGCCCAAAAAACTGATGGTGAGGCATTGGTGTGCACCAGAGTTGTTCTCTCATCCTACATGCACCTGTGCACTAAATTAAAGTATTTTACACCTCCCCCCGCCCCCTTCTAACCACCCTGGCCTGATCCAGGTGACGCAGAATGAACCCCCTAACGCTGGCGTCCACTCATAAACCCTCCATGGTGTTGTTCAACAAATGCACTCTCCTGGTCGTCCTTCACCGTGTGTCTGTGTGGCGTCTGTGTTTTGTTTGGTTGCTCATGACTTTGTATGCATCTTTGGATAGTGTATCATGTGGCCAAACCTGAAGTCCATCAACCGGAGCCTAAAAAACCAACATGTTTGATCGGTTTACTCAGAAATAACTTTTAGTATTGGTCGTGGTTATGATCTCTTAACTGGCATGCCCGTCCTCAGCCCCTGGAGATTAATCCAAACGTTTTTTGACCTGATTGACGTTTGTGTTACTCACCAATATGACTCAAAATCTCTTAACTATTTAAATGTATAGAGATTTTAGCTTTGCATACTCAACCCCCTGCCCCTTTCCTCTCCCTCTCAGAACCCTCCCCCTGCCGGAAAGGTCGCATCTAAGGTGGTGGAGGACGACAGGAAGGACGAGTCTCCTGCATCGTGGCGGCTGGGTTTGAGGAAGACGGGCAGCTACGGGGCGCTGGCGGAGATCACGGCCACCAAAGAGGCTCAGAGGGAGAAGGACACGAGCGGGGTGATGCGCTCTGCCTCCAGCCCCCGCCTGTCCTCCTCTCTGGACAACAAAGACAAAGAGAAGGTCAACTCTAGTATAGAATGTAGAAATATGAAAATGCTGTACCTTTTTTTTATGAGAGCTCACTGAAGACTTGTATCCCTTGTTTGACAGTTTCACTAATGTTGGTCCTTTTTTGTCCCCATGTCTGCAGGAAAAAGATAAAGGAACTCGGCTTGCTTACGTTGCCCCCACCATCCCCAGGAGACTGGCCAGTACTTCGGACATCGACGAGAAGGAGAACAGGTGAGACCTTTGGGCCTGGCTCTGTGCTAACATGCATTGGTTTGAGCGGCTCCTGCTGCCCACTGCTGTGTGTTGCAGGCAACATGCCTCAATGCTATGCATGCTGTGTTGGCCTTAGAAACTGTCTTTCATTAGGATGTTATGTTTAGTAAGACAAAAAAGGGTAGATTTCATACAGGGTAGACATGTATCTATATCAGATCTGTTTGAGGAAGATTGAGGTACTATTGAAGTGTAATCCCCAGGGACTCTACTGCTCTGATACGTAGTGGCTCATACACCCGGCGACGCTGGGATGATGACCTGAAGAACTCCGAAGGAAGCGCCTCCACCAACCGAACCCCCAGCTACCAGCGCAGGTCAGCCTCTACTGCGACACAAGTCCCATCCCCCCTCCTCATCAGAGCTCTGCTCCATCTGATGTCATGTGTTTATCCATTATGAGGTGGACTTGCATAGCCTTGGAACTAATACCACTGTGTAGGCAGCATTGATAGTTGTTTATCAGTCACCTACTGTACATTTGGCTCAGATTATGTCATCAGAGATATGTACGTACATGCTTCCATGCACAGCAGCAGCTGCTGAGAAAGCACCTTTGCTCTATCACTGCCACTGAGTGTGTTGCATGACTGTACTTGTCCTGTCAGGCCGCTGTGCCACTGAGTCTTCATAGCATTACTCATTATGACATTTTAACAAGCCTATATACCTGTCTGACTACCAGATAAATCAAATTCTTAGAGTTGTTTGTGGCACAAAACCTAGACATGGACTCGAGCTGCATGCATGTCATATGGGAAAATCCTGGATCCATGATCTATCTTAAAATCTCTAAATATTCCTAGTTTTTACCTTAGAACTTGACTGTTCAAGGTGATTGCAATCATCACAAATCTACAAAAATCTTCATTCATGAATTCTCCAACTCCTGACAGTTGCTATGATTCGACATCTATCCCCATATGACATGAATGCACAAATAGTGTGTGTATAAGCTTAATACCCCTTAAATATGTATGTGTCCTGTACTATATCTGTGTGTGTGTGTGTGTTTGTGTGTGCGCCTCCACCGCTAACATGCCTCTCTCGCTCCCACCCGCCTGCCAACACGCAGCACGTCCCACACGCTAGCACTAGGGCGGAGCGGCAGCACGCGGGACGTGCCAGCCAAGTCTTCGTCCACCTCCAGCTTGGACCCTAACACCTGTAACACTAAACCCTGGCAGCCACCCACCTCCCACTACCAGTCTTACAGCATTTACCGCAGGTATACCCGCCCCCCCCCACCAGGGCACCGCCGTCTCTACACCCTCCTGTCCTCTCTGACTGTCTGTGCTCTGCTCACTGCCTACCATGAGTACTGTGTTGCATTTAATGTCCATATGACAAGTCTGCAAACCTTCAATGTTGATGATATGGAGGAATAGTACGACAACCCAGTACTATCAAGGAAATTATGTTCAGATAAAACATTTTCTGAAATAGTAGTATTTTAAATGTGCTTTTTGGGAGCACAGGTAATTTTTCTGTTTTATTTTTTCACTCAGCCGCCCACATCATTTCTTAAAAATTGGGGCTTACTGTAGGAAGTAATAAGTGCCTTCTGAGGTTTTTTTTTTTTACAAGCGGATATCCAAATACAAAACTTATATTCATCAGCGTCTGTGACATTTTGACCATTTAAATAATACATGCCGTGCAGCCATTAGTATCCACAGAGGGTTAGATACGAAATACAGCATTCAGACTGACTGTCAAACCTGCTATTAGAAATGCAATATGTCTGAGAAGTGTGAAGCAAATGACAGAAAAAGAGGGCTTACATCTAATAAACTAATTATCTCTACAATAACTTAGCTAGATGCTGTGGTTGTTAACATATCGGTATTTGTATTCTGCTCTGGCTCACTGGTGACCCTGATGTGTCCATGTCTGACGTTTTGTCCTCCAGCAGCTCCTTTGGCAGAAGGAACGAGGACTTGGGTTCCTCGACCACCACCTCGCCCTCTTCGACCACCACCTCACCCTCTTCGACCACCACCACCACCACCACCACCACCACCTCTGTTACCTCGCCCACAGGCCATCGCGGACTGCTCTCCAGCCTGGGCTCCTCCTCCACCCGCACTGGCTCCACCAGTCTCACCAGCAGGTAAGAGACTGTAATCAACAGCTTGTAGATATTCCACTAGTGTTGTGACTCTGGATTTTCTCGGAGAAGGTTTATTCCTTTTTTTCTGTATACACACTACAAACAGCATAGAACATGAATACACCATAGATCAGGTATAAATAAGACGTATAATACAGACATATTACAGAATTAATATATTACAGAGCGTTATTGACAATTTTATATACTATGAACAAATATGAGTATGCCGTAGAAAATATAGATGTTTTATAAATACAGTCCTATTTAGGAAAAAATTATATTTTATTTAAAAAAAGAAGAGTGACTTAAAATATCAGCAAACCGTTTTCCCCACCTCTTCAGAGATTACAAAAAGGGACTTAATGAAAGATTGTCCTGGCAAAACACTTATTTTCACCTGTTCTAATGTCATGGACACAGGTGAGAAAACAACTTTATATAAGTCTGGACCACCTTCATTCACCTTCAAAGTATTTTATGCTGCAGTACCTGACCTCCACAGTGGCTGCCAACAGACATGTGGCCTCATTTACAACCACACATTTATGTTTTTATAACAAAGCAATTGAAACTAGATCCCTCAGTTTAAGCAAGTTTCTTGTTCTGTGTGAACAGGTACTGGTCAGAGGAGAGTGCAGACAGGGAGAAGGAGAAGGAGTCTGCCGCCGTCATCCCTACTATAAACACTGGCTCCACGACCACCTCGTCCTCCACCACCACCACCGCCACATCCACCACCACTGGCATTGTCACTGGCTCTGAAAGACGCAGGTAACGCATTCAAAAGTCTACAAAACTCATATATATCCAAACTATTGTCTCACCTTCTGATATGTCTTTATACATTTACTAAAGGCAGCGCTAACATATTTTGGCACAAGCATTAATATTGTTCCATCAGTCAAATAGTTATCCGGATGCACTTCCTTTGTTTGAGAACAGGGTGTGTGTGTGATCTTGAACTCTGTACACACAGACAGACAGAGAAAGTCTCTCTTCTCCTCCACAGTGTGACAGAGGGAGCATGTATTTGCACGTGTGTGTGTGTGTGTGAGTGGGGTCGAGTGCACGTCTTCCTGTAGCAAACGCTGAAATAAGCCACCTGTCATAGTTGGAGTGAGGCGGGACTGTTTCAGAGACTGGATTGCTGCAGTGACTTTTCCTTTTAAGGAAGGAGGGCAGAAGCTGCACATTTTCCTCAAGGCCGAGGCTCCAAATGCGCTGAATGAGTTCATCATTCAGTAGTAGTGAGGAACACTGACACAAAGGGCTAGATTCATTTACAGTTTTATAACTCCGAGCCTTTTGAGCCTGGTACTGTTACAGCAAAAGGTTGAATGCAAACGTAACTGAATCCTATTTCACCACAGTAACTTTAAGAAGGATTAAGAGTTGTTTTAGGGCTCAGGAAATTCATTTATTACAATAACAATCTGTTCCACCCAACATTTCTTGACATCAATAGCTGCCTTACATTTACACCAGTTCACAAATGTTCTTCATATATCTGCACTCTTACTTTTGGCAAGTGGAAGCCTACATTCCGTCAGCTTTGGCCACTCGTAGTGCCTTATGATTTTAATATATTAACTTAGCAGTAATTATTGTTTAAGATAATAGTTATTTTCTTCATTTCCCGGCTAGTTCATAAATGAAAGCGGCCATCTTGCTGATCACAAGCTACCTTAAACACATTGACCAGATATATTAATAAAATACATTTAAACAGAAAAATATTTGATTGCACTTTCCCCATCTCAACACTGATCTGATTCTGGATTGAAGTATTAATGCTTTTATTGCCAGATGAATTAACCCTGTGTGTGTTTGTGTGTGTCTCAGGTCATACCTGACGCCAGTGCGAGACGAGGAGTCAGAGTCTCAGAGGAAAGCTCGCTCCAGACAGGCTCGACAGTCGAGGAGGTCCACCCAGGTTAGTTCATTTCAAAGTGTTGAGCTCTTTCTATTCCGCCATCCCACCAAAAAAAGGCACACTTTTTGGTACCAATAAGTCTCCTACGTCATGGTGACTTCTAGTTGTTCCTGGGTTGCATTATGGTTTTATAGCCATGTGTGTTTAAATGAATGTTGTCACACTGGTTGAAATGCCATGTTTTGTGTACATAGACACCACTTAACATCCAGGCCTGTACAAAGAGCTGATTGTTTTACAAGCTGACATTTATAGGACAACAAATTAAACATTGTAAATCACCAGCTAGACTTCTCACTGCACAGCTGCTAGGAGCTTGGTTTGAATAATACAATTATGTTTATAAAGGTCTAAGCCAAGCCAATAATAAGAATTCTAGAGATCAAAGATCATTGGGAAACCGTGTTCATACTTTTAAGATCTAACTCAAGAACTGTTCTTAATTTGGCTTTGAATGAAATGTTATCTATTAGGTTTAATTCATTCCTGTCTTGTTTGCTTTTTTGGTTTTGGCAGCACTTTATATTTCCTTCTGTGTATGAAAAGTGCTATGTAAATGAAGTTTGATTGACCGATGTTGTATTGCGATCTGGTTCCAGGGTGTAACTCTGACTGACCTGCAAGAGGCTGAGAAAACCATCGGCAGGAGTCGGCCCCCAAAGACCCGAGAGGAGGAGAAGGAGGAGAAAGAGAAGCAGGACAAGGAGAAGCAGGAAGAGAAAAAGGAGATGGAGACTAAGGAAGACGATTACCGGTCGAAGTACCGCAGCCTCGAAGAGGTACATCTCTGCCCTGCATGTCATAACTTCCACACCCTGAATATTTGACTACAATGTCCCTCTAACCGTTCGCCTTTCTCCCTACCAGCGCTACCGGCCTTCGTCTTCCTCCTCTACCTCCGCCATTTCCTCGGTCAGCACTGCATCCACCCCGTACTCTAGCACCGGCTTGTCCTACAGCTCCAGCTCCCTCAACAGGCCCAACAGTCTGACGGGGATCACCTCCTCCTACAGTCGCTCCTCCAGAGACACGGAAAAAGGTCCGTACCATTCCCATCAGAATACATCTCGAAATCCGCTATATGGCCAATTCAATTCCTTTATTAATGATATTTATATATACACAAAGAATGCAGATTAAAGTGCTTTAATAATGGCACATAACAGTAGACAAACACAAAATGTGATTTTTAATTCAATTCCGGTTAAAACAAAAGCACAAATCACATGATTTCCAAAAATGTAAAATATCAACAACAAAAAAATACAATAAAATAAAAAAGATAAGAATATTAAAATCATTTATTATTAAATTAAAAAAGAGCCATTTAAAGAGTATACTGCTAATTAAAGCATGTTTTGTACTATGGATTAGATTTAAAATGTCTACAGATGAAATAGTAAAAAAAAACTGGTTTTGGAAGATGTGTTCTAACACTGCTAAAAGCCATCTTTGATTACCTTAACTATCCTGAAACAAATATGTATTCAGTGCTATCCTCAATGATATAAAGCATGTGGACTTGGCTGGTGTCAGTCTCCACAGGTTCACATTCACATGGGCAAACTGCCACATGCTGACCAAGTGCATCCAGACAGAAAGGGATTGGGTTGCGTCTCAAATGAAGTCACTCTTCTCTTAACAAATAAATCCATGAAGCATCCCTGGGAAAACAGAAAGCCATTTTAATCTGTTCAACTGACGGAAACACTGACCTCTTTGTTCTCCCACGACCACAACCTTTTCTCTTTTTTCCCCTCTGAACTCGAGCCAAGTCGAGTTGTTGTCCTGAATGTGCTTTTGTGAAGTGAAATCATGCCTTATTTAACATTATCACGTTTAATCCTTGTTGAAATTACTGTATGGGTATTTGCTTACTGTTGATACAAATAATAACAGTCAGATTTTGCTCTTGTAAAATACAGAAGCAGAGGATTTATGGCAGGAACAGATGTCATTTTAATATTATGGGAGAAATATCACCTGTATGTGTGCGTGTAGTTAACCTGCTGTCCTTCTACTTGATTGGACAGAAATGGACAAAAGGGAGGAGGAGAAGGAGGGAGAGGACAAGTCTCAGCCTCGCTCCATACGGGATCGCAGGCGGCCCCGCGAGAAGAGACGCTCCACCGGGGTCTCCTTCTGGACCCAAGAGGTGAGACACTCAATGACAGGAGTTTCAATTTGTATTTAAGTATTCGTAGCATTCTTCATGAGGGGCAGCCGCTCGCAACCCTAAAATGTCCTCTTTCATCATTTGGACGTTAACCCTTTTATCCTTATTTTGTATTAAAGGGTGACGACCCTGACCAGCAGTCAGACTCGGAGGACGGCAGCATCAAGGGAGAGCCACAGGTAACTCATCACACTCACACTCACACCAGGAAGTAGGGAAAAAATACTTAACTGACAGCCAAAAGCAAACTTACCCTTTGGCTTTTCTTGTGTGGCCAGACCTCCGTTTGATTCTTGCCCTTCTGCATTTACTCTCTATTCTCGTCCTTCCTCTTGTCTCATCTCGTGAAGTCAAGGCCAAGCGAGTCTGGCAGTCTTTGATATTCAGCGCTCTGCCCTGTGCAGAGAGGATTTCCTCCCCTGCCACTTATCTTTCAGTCTCACCCTCTGATGCCTTTGAATTTTCTTTACATCTTCGGGTGATTGACTGGGTGACCTTGAACACCAAAAGTGGTATCAGACATGGATCAGTGGGTTTTAAAAACATGCAGACATGCAAAGGAGAGGAAGTCTGGGTCACTTGGGTCAAAGCACACACACGTAACAAGATGGTAAAGAGATTTTCAGATTTGGAGATGATATTTAAAACTTTTCAACCCAAAATGTATGCTATTTTGTGCTTTTTTTATACATGAACTCACTGTTAATGTCAATTGGACCCAGTGGTGAGCTAAGTTAACGGGTAAAAAAGGGATTAACCGGTCTTCCAGTCCCTTAAATCAAAATCAAAGCATATATAAGCTCTTAGATTCATTTAATTGTGTTCATACTATCCATGGAAGAAGCAGCATGGGGCAGAAAGGGCAGTGTTGTGGACATATTGCTGGCTGCTGAACATCCTCTTTAAATGGGAGTGTCTTTTAATAGCAAACAGTAGTCGCAGCGTTCAACCATCACTTTCAGCCGGATAGTAGAGAGGGTGGAGCAGCAGCAGAGCACTGAATAGGAAACAAACAATTATCTCTTCATGGAGATTGGAAAGCGAACAGGAAAAGCGTTTGAGTCTCTTTCTTTCCTGCCTGACACTCTCAACAGTTTACATTGCATAGTATTGCATTTTTAGACAACATCACCAAGATGTTGGATCATTTTTGTAATTCATTTCCTAGTCTTGCAGTAAATGGAGGCACACTGGCTGTTTATCTGATCAGTTTGTTCATCTTCTTCCTTTAAAGCTCCAGGGCTTCTTGACTCAGATGGTAGCATTGTTGTGTCACCGCCCTCTGTCCGCCTCAGGAAGCTCACTGTCATTTTAGAATAGCTGGAAGCCCCGACCCGCCCTATCCGACGCCCGGCCCCGCTCTGAGGGCTGCTGCATCGGGCACTTAGCTGGCATGAGAGCTGCTTAGAAATAAGTTGTGTGTGTGTGTGTGTGTGTGTGTGTTCTCCTCAGAGAGAAGGGCTGCAGAATCTGAAAGTATGACATTAAGTTTAAAATGAAAAACATATCTCATTTTATTCTTCTACTTAGTTTTGCTGTATGTATAAGAAGGCAATGTCTGCTTTCGGTTTCATTAAGTGTTCATTTTTCTTCTGTATCCACATTAACATATCTTTCATTTTTGTTTTCCTACAGAGTGACAGATTGTCCAGGTATGGTTTCCCCTCTTTATATTATTATTCTATTTTGTATTATTGTCTTTTATATGCTGTCCGTGTTATAACAATTCTAATCGAATTACATTTCTGTCGCAGGAACGAGAGCAGCACTTCAACCTTAGATCGCAACGACACTCTTTATAGCCGCGGCTATGGAGAGAGTCGGAGGACATACTCTAGCCGACTGGACAGAGACGACACCACTGACTATAAGAAGGTGTGTAGTGTATTTAAAACGCAGTAGTAGTAGGCCCGATTAACATATAATACCATTAAGTATTATTTTACAATCACCCTTTAATAATTGATAGCACAGTCTAAAAAGTACCAAGTGATATAACATTTTAAAGGGACAATAAATATGTGTCCTTATCTTTAATGATATATATCAAATTGTTTTGGTGTAAGTGTTGGAGATAATGACAGTAAAGATGTCTGCCTCATAAAGACATTTAGCAATAAAAAGAATCCAATAAATAGAGTAATATAACAAATATGAATTCCTGCTTTTGAGCTGGACAGTCCCTTTTAAGGGGACTGAGAGAAGTTTGGATTTGCTACCCTCAAAATGTGGAATTTATACAATATTAGGTTTTTACAAATGACTTGCCTATTACACCTGCTGACTGTCTTTGTGTATTTCCTCCCTGCAGCTCTACGAGCAGATCTTAGCTGAGAACGAGAAGTTGAAGGCCCAGTTACGTGACACAGACCTGGAGCTGGCAGACTTGAAGCTACAACTAGAGAAGGCCACACAGGTACACTGACCTCACACCAATTCAGATCATAATCGTAATAATAACACAATTCCTGATGACTGATGTTTTTGTCCCTCATTGCAGAGGCAGGAACGCTATGCCGACCGATCACAGCTTGAGATGGAGAAAAGGGTAATGACAGTTCAATAACGCAACTCAAAAACAAATGTCCTTCTTACACCATGACTAAAAACATGATTAACTTCTGTCTCTCAAGTTCATCTCTAATAAATACAGAACTCAGGTCTGTTCTCTCTGATAAATCCCTGCTTTAAACATGATGGTAACTCCACCAATGGGTTTTTATCTGAAGGTTACAAGCAGGCCCCAATTTCATCTGGGTGGTGGTATGATCTTAACCTGACTCTTTGTATCAGTCTACTCTCTGCTGCTGTCTGCGTGTCACACATGTAGTCGGGGGGTTGTCAAGGGGACTTCCTCCCTCCTCTCCACCCAGAACACCCCTCCCTTCTCTCACCTGTTGTAAAACCTAAGAGGCAGCGTGTGGTCACCTCTTCTCAAGATTGCTTATTTTGCTATTTTTGCGTGCGTGTTGAAGTGTGTTTATCTCAATGTATGCAGGAAGACTGTAGACGGTTGAATTACTGTTGAAACAACTTGTGCATGTGTGTGTGTGAAATGACAGTCAAAGCATGCGTGTGTTTTCATCATTTTCCACTCATTCAATTATTGACATCTTCAGTTGCAGATGTGTCGCAATGAAACCCTACATTTGTAAAAATCCATCCATTACTTTCAAAACCCATCTTCCATTTGTCTTTCATAATAGAAGAATGTCCTCTTTTGTTGAAAAAATGACATTCTGTCCATGTTCACGAGTCATTTACTTCTCATCCTTAACAACCTCTAAACATCTACGTCCCCATCCCTTGACTCATTTCCTTACATATGAATTATTTCTACATCACTGAATATGTAAGTGAACTGGCTGTTGCTTGCAGATTCCTCACAAGACATGTGTGTGTTCCAGTGTGTGCTGTCGCCCACCCTCACCATCCTCCACACCTTTCTGTATGCAGTGTGTGGAGTGTGCTTTCTGCTATCTCTGTTGAAAGTCCCGAGTTAACCTGCCTTTCCTCCGCCTGCAGGAAAGAAGAGCTCTAGAAAGGAAGATATCTGAGATGGAGGAGGAACTTAAGGTATAAACACACACACATTATATTTTCTGTTCATGTACAGTGGGGGTTTTAGAAGATAGGAGTCTATTAGGAGTGGTGAGTCACCTCAAATGCCATGATGCGTAAAAGATCATATGCAATTATTACAGACTTGATTTATTTTCATGGTTTTGCCTTTACTTGAACTCTAACAAGGAATTTATCATCCGGGAATGTGAGCAGATCAGCCGCTTTCCCGTAACTCAGCATTTCCCATCTGGAGTATTATAATATAAGTAATAATGGGTTATCTGGTTAAATACAGAATTGTATTTTCCTTAAGATACTCTGTATGCACACTATATATTTTCCTAAGGAGCCCCTTGTGGATCACTAGGGACATTTTTGCCTTTTTTAATTTTAATGTAATAGATTTTTATGGCATAGATGTTGGCAATGGTGTAAGGTTTGTTTCTTCCGTTTTTTTTAAATTCCACCTTGACTCCTATTATTATAAACTGTGTATCCAACAGTCAGACGGTCACACAACTAAGGACAGAAATGTCCCATTATTTTTGAGGCACAAGGGTGAAGCAGGACAATCATGATATATGGTCAGCTGTTGTAATCCATGTTGACATTGGGGGGGGGGGGGGGGGGGGTGTAATGTATTAAATTCTAGTAAGCAGGTGTTTACCAGAATGGGTCGTGTCGCTGTGATTACAAAGTGTGTTTACTTTTAGGCAGCTCGCTGATCTTATCAATTTGACCTACAAGCATCATGCTGAGGCGGAAAGCTCTTAATCATTCCTTCGGTTTCCAAAAATCTGTCCCCATTTTCTAACAATCTTCCTTTTCTGTTTCCCCTCTCTCCTTCCTCTCGGCCCCTCTTCTTCTCTATTAATTTATACTGTCCTGTCTTTCATTAAACCTTTCCCTAACCCCTCATTTGTTTATTGAAACTTCCTTTTTCTGCCATTCTGTCTCTCTCTTCTCCTGTCCTTCTCCTCCTCTCTTCTTTTTCTCTGTCTTCCTGTGTTGTGGTTGTTGTCCCCCCCCCCCCCCCCCCCCCCCCCCCCCTGCAGAACCTCCCCCAGGTAAAGCAGGTTCAGGCCCTGCGGCAGGTGAAGGAGCGGCTGCAGGCTGAGAACCGGGCCCTGTCCCGCGTCTTGGCAAAGCTCTCGCAGTCCGCCTGCAGCCAGCTGCCCACCGTCGACCTCTAAGCCACGTCCGTTTGTCCACCACCATCTCCTCCTGTTCCTCCTCTCCTCCTTCTTCTTCCTCCTCACCTCCCCCTCCCAACCCCATTCTTCTCATGCTCCATCCGTGCTCTGCCCGCTCACATAGACAGGCAGGTGTCCAGCCGCCCAAACATCACTGGTTTTGTAAAACTCCCCTTTCCAGCCCCCTCTGCCTCCCCAGAGCTTTTGGTTTTCAGATTGGGGAGGGTGCCTTTTTCTGTTTTTGGTTTGGAGTTTTTACAACAGGACACTCTCCTTTTTACAGTACACAGCTGGAAGGTGATTTTCACACATTTCGTCATATTAAAAACAACTTGAATATGTCAAACTAACTGGAGAAAAAGCTTATTTAAGTACAATTTAAAGCTGGGGTAGGCAGTTCTCTGAAAAATGCATCATTCATTTAATTTGATCATCATCATCCCTATTTTTATTCTGATCTTAGCAAACTTCTGTATAGTCGTACTATGATGTAGGGCTCTTGCTAGCTATAATATTTGCATAGCATTCCAGAAAATGAGAGAAAGTTGCTAATAGTTTAGCATTTTGCTAACCGTAGCCGTGAGCTAACCACAGCTCCGCCCCTTTGTTTACATTTAGCAGAAGAGTTCAACTTTTAGCGACTTGTTCCCTCCATTTCTCAAAAACTTTGCATTGAATCTATTTGTGTACTCCTCTAAATAGTCTTCCAGCCAATCGGAATCCTTCTCTCTGAAATGACCTGTGATTGGCCTGAATCCCCCTTCACAGGCTATGTTTTATTAAAACTGAGCGGGAGGAGTCTAGTTCCCCTCTACTTTATTTACAACATGCTGCAAGGTGTTTAAGCTCATTTAAAAAAGCTGCCTACCCCAGAGTTAAAGGTTTCTAAATGTACTTAAAGTTGTATTATAAACAAACGCACCAAGTACTGTGAAGGAAAGTGTCCTCTGTAGTTTCTGGTGTTGATGCTTCCATTAGAGGGGGCTCTGGTTCAGTTTGGCTTGACCTGGCTTCTCTGCATGAAGTGGCTTCTTCCTTTTTTATGCATCCACTTTTTGTCCCAAATCTTCAGGGAATGAAACGTTTTTCTTTCTCCCTCCTTACTCCCCACGTTTGAATTTGACGGATGACATCAACAAATGTTAGCTGCATTGTGCCCGATCAGTATTATTTATCAAGTCAAGGATATACTTCAGATAATAACTGAATAATGTAAACCTACAGTTGATCGTCTCCTGTAATCAATGAATGCGTTTGTTTTAAAGGGGACTGAATCTTTTGTTGGAGTGTCACTGATGTAATTGATTTCCACCACAACACCAGTTAAATATAAATATTTATAACAGCCTGGTTGAAGTAATATGTACTGCAGCTTATACAGGTGAATAATATTTCTCTACTTTTCCAAAATCAGCAATCCAGCAAACCTAAATTCAAAGTCAGAAGTGTTCATATAAAGTCTGTACAAATATGCATCCATCATGCATCACTATACACATCCAAGTAGAGTGCCGTCAGTCTGTCATGACGAGTGAAGCATTACTTTAGATACTGTGGAATCAGGGAGGTGTCATGAGAGGAAAATAAATATAAATATTTACCTTTTGCCTTATCCAGTCTGTTTGTTCATGTGAGCACTTTCGAACAATACTGGACCAAACCCTTTATTTTCTAACGTGTAATTTACCTATTTGTCCTCCTGACACCCGGCAGTTTAAGATAACACACAAAGATCTCACATGTTCTGTACACTAGATCAAAAATTTAAAAAGCTCTTGTTTGCTGTGTATGTATTTTGTGGCTGCCGGTGAGCAGCCGTTCAGATCCTGCATGGCTTTCTCAGGATCTCTGGCCTGTGGTGTGCCCGCTTTTTTTGACTTCCCTCTATCTTGACTCGGAACAAGGAAGTCAACTTTTTTTTTATTGAAGGAGAAAATAAAACATGATTGATGCTGTGTGACTCCAAAGATTTGCTTTGTACACAGGCTGCCATTAACCGTTTGTGAAACTGGTTTAACAACAGCTGAATGTGTGGAGACTCGTCTAAGCCTTCTCTCTCTGTGTCTCCTCCTCCCTTCCCTGTTTCCTTCTTATTCCCTTTCAGACGCTCCCAGACTTGAAAGCAGACAACCAGAGACTAAAGGACGAGAACGGAGCGCTCATTCGAGTCATTAGCAAGCTTTCCAAGTAGAACAGACCCCCCCCCCCTGCCCCAGTCCTCTGCACCCCCCCCTAGTCCCCCATGGCAGTGACTAATGGAATTGCACATTTAGATATTAATTGCAACAGACATCAGAGACAAGACTCCTTTTTTTTTTCTTCCTTTTTATCTCCTCGCAGTTCTTTATCTCCATTTTGCTCCTCCTCCACCACCAACACCACCACCACCACCACCGCAGCAGCATCCATCCATCCATCCATCATCCACCTCCTTCACTATTACCCATAGAACCACTGAGTTTACAGAGCAAACGGAGTTGTGTGATCAGCATGTAAAAGCATTGTGGGTGGGGAAGCCTGAAAGCTATTTAACCAATAAGCCTTAGTTGTACATAAAGAGAAAAATAAAAAAAACACTTGCAGCGATCTCTTCTCTCTCTCTCTCTCTCTCTCTCGCTGAACGACAGATATTATCCAACACCTGATTTTATTTGTGCCACACTCTCTCTCTGATGTAATTATCTTTATTTTGTGTTTCCTCTCCCTGTGTTAGTGTTGTGTGCTGTGCCGTTTCTCCCCCCTTCCTTTTTAACCCCCTCAAAGTGCCACTTCCAAGCCCCATATCAGCTCCTTGTGGCCCCTCATTTTTACATTTTTACCCCCTACACACACACCACCAATGCACACCCTTTTTTTGTTACCTCTGCGTGTCTTCCTCCAAGAGGGAAAAATGTTGAAATCTCGCTCTAGCGAAACGAGGCGGACCTGGTGGAATTTAAGCTTTCACTGTATGTGCAATATGCATTTCTTCTTCTTCTTCTTTTTGTAATGCTTTAATGAGGAGTCCATCACAAGTAGGATTTTCACTCTTCCACCGCTTCCATCGCTCACCTTCCTTCTCCTCTTTTTGTTTGTTTTAAGTTTGTAGTGTAGTCAGTTTATACTCTGTATTCTCACTTTGTTTTAGCAGGTACTGAGTGATGCTGTATATACCTGTATGTATTTGTTTGAGAGCAGCACATGGCATGCATTTATGGTTCCCGTCTGTTACTATTAAAAGTATACAAATTCCAGAGGACAAAGAGGTGTGTTTTTAATTATTTGATAGTCTAAAGACATTGGATACAGTTCAGTAGAGCCTCGGCTGGCAGTGTTCAGTGATTCCCTTCTCTTTTTTTTCCAGTTTAAAATAAGTGTTCACATGAATTGTGAGATTAAAAACAAATAATCGCTTCACTACATTTCACTTTCATTGTATTCAGTATCTTGGAAGAGTGCTGTTAATTTTGTTTCCAATTTTTTTTTTTTTTTTTAAAGCTGTAGTATTATAGCCAAGGTGTTGTCACTAAAATAAAAAAGAATATCTTAGGTATCGCTAACCCAGTTTTACAAATGTCTACATGCACTGTCAATGCCATGTGAGGAGTCTTTATGTCAGGTTTAAGCAACGCCACCATCAAATATTCCATGCATCTGAAACATTTTATGCATTTCAGTGGCCTTTTTTAAGGATATTTTAGTAAAAGAAGTTAAAAAGTCAATGCAGACGGGCTGATGACTTTCTGCTCTGGTTTAGACTTTTTGTTTTGTTTTTTTCTTATTCTTTTTTTCCCGTCATCTTGTAAAATAGGTGTGTGGCTTAATACATGCAAGCTGTGCTGTGACTACCAACCACTGAAGAGTTCATTAAAAATAAACTTGTACATTGTAAAGTTCCCACGTGTCATTATTTATTTACTGAAATGTTTATATACTGATTTATTTTTGCCTTAATTAAATGGCTGAGTTCACCCATTTTACAATTGTTGTGGTGAGTTATCCTCTAATGTTGGGAATATTTCAGAATATCTTGTCTCATTGATTTTGATTGGGTTGTTTATATGTGCCGTTTCGGTTTCATTTTCATGATGTCATCTGTGAGACAATTTTATTAGATTTATTCAGGATTTTAAAATCACATCTGTTTAATGTAGTTTTGTAGTGTCTGTCTTTATAATGTTTTTACTAACTTATGTCTTCCTTTCTTGAACAGGATAAAACAGATGTGTGGATCTAAGGCTGAAGCTTTATTGGTTAAATTCATTTGAAATAAAATGGAAAAAAATCAACCTTTATATCCATTTCCACCACAATACAATGGGGCTTAATATAATGTTGTAGATCTTTTGTTTTTGGACAACTTAAATATCTAAAGGGAGCAAAGAACCAATTCCCTGTTACACCATCACACCAGTAGATGGGGCACATCTTTACAGACCGTCAGTCTCTGCACCGAACATCATTTTGCAATGTTCTGTTACAATCTTTCACAGTTACAGTGGAAGGCTTTCTTGCATGTCTGAATATGTAAGGATGTTATACTGAAACACTCACATTCATATAAATTGGCTTCATCAGCTGCATATTAGGCAAGGCACATAAACATCAATGTGCATTACAATAACTCAAAACGGAGGGCATGAACAAAACTAAAATATATATGTTTTAAAGCAAATAAAAACAAACTAATGCAAAACAGAAATGGTCACTCAGGAATTAAGGTGTTTAGAAATGTGTTAAATTGATGGGCTTTTTTTTACTTTTGCACAATTTAATAAATTACATTTCGTTAAGAAAAGCAATACATACTGGGGAAATGATTTTTTTTAAAAAGCACCATACATCAAAAGTAAAACTTGTAACATTATTTATACAGCACCTTAAAACTGAGGGAGCAGGATACACAGAAGGCAATATAAAAGAAAGCCAAACAATGAGGTAAGTTACAATTGTTTTTTAAAGGCAGAAAATAACAGGGAAAAGACAATGATAAGGTGAAAGAGATACTTTTTCTTTAAATGTCATTAAAAAAGGATAACCGATAAAAGCAAGTCAAAATTGATTTTTAGATGTAATCAAGAGGACACCAATTCTACGACTCATTTTCTCTGGCAGGTTGTTGCAAAATTCTAAGGGGACTGATGACAAATCCACGGTCACTTTAAGATTCAAACTCAGGATCAGCAAGAAAAAACGCATCTGAAGGTCTCAGACTGCTAACCGCCTCATATGCCGCCACTAGTTCTGCTATATAGTTTGTTGTTAATCACAATAATGCTTAGAAAGTGATCAGTACAATCTTAAATGTGAAGAGGAGCCAGGATTAGGATAATGTGTCTGGAGGTACAATGCTGAGTCTGTTCTCCCTGAGTTTAAATCCCTTCAGATTCTATGCTCAACTATAAGAGTGAGCATTAGCTGACAGAATAAATCAGGTTCCTCATCAAGTGATTTATATGACAGCGATAATGGAAGTTTAAACTCTAATTTCTGCTTGTTTCACCGGGTGTGTCCTGCTCCTGTGATGAAGGGCTCCCACTTTCAGATTAAGTTTTCAAAATAAGCGCGGTGCTATCTGCTGTAATTGCTCAGAGACATGCAAAAAAAAAAGACTGTTCTGTTTTTCCGTTGCCTCAGCACGTGGTTAGGAAATCTGGTTCGTCTTAAATGTGACATGGATAAGCTTCATTAACAATCCCTGAACAGAATGTCTTCATCGGGTCAAAAAACAACTTTTGGACACATTCCTGGCCTTATAATGAACCCCATTATTATAGGAACAAATGGTTTGAATACATGCAGGCATTTCTTGTTGTTTGGCAGACTCAAAGGAAACTCTTTGCACGTGATTTGTGAATTTGAATTAAACGTACAGGGGAATGACTTTTAGTGTCATAGAAATCACAGCAGGAGTATAATGTCTCTTTCCTGACAGCAGCTCCACCATGAGATGACGCGCTGTGCTTTTCTGAGCTGGAAATCATCCATAAAGAAGGAATTAGATCGCTGCTGTCTCACACACAGAGACACTCACTCTCGCCTTCTCCTGCTCTTTTTATTTCCACCACGGCCTAATCTGCCTCTCTTATACCGTAAAGTGCAGCAGGCCAAACAAACCTCCTTCCCCAAAATGCAATTTTTAAACACACCACAGATGAGACTTAGACACGCAGGATAAGCAAATACCCCTCAGATTCGAGCAGAAACAGCAGCGGTGGATCTGTGAGGATGGGTTTAGCGAAGAGGAGACAGCTCTCTCTCTTTGTTGTGTCAGCAGATGCACTGTGATGCATCATGGGTAGAAGAGGTCACACAAGGAGAGGACAAATGACTGTATAGTGCTAAATGATATACCAATTAAAACAGTGTGATTACTGTTGATGACTATTATTGACTATGATTATAAAATACCGTGCATTTTATAAAAAGGAGCCCAAAGTTGAACATTGAGGAGTCTTAAAAAATGAAAATTATGACAATTTTGATGAGTAATTCATTTTTTCTGTCAATATTGTGACTCCAAATGTCCATCATAAACTTCCAATCCATTATTATAATTAATGGGCTGTTTTGAAACTGTTTCCAGGTCCCAATGCTTTTCTACTTCTTTTATGAAATGCTGGTTTAACAAAGCAAACAGCTATGGAACGTTACCATGTGTTGTGGGAGTTTACAATGACACTAATTATAAAGCGGTTCCTGGTTTACTAACTCAAAACATGACTCCTCAGTCTCTCTCTCTGTGTTGAAGGATTCATAATATTCCTAACCTGACTATAGTGTGTGGTAACTGCAGACATAACGTCGGGGAGGCTCTGGAGAAACATTTCTTGAATACTTAAACTGTTGGATAAACATTTTCACGTGGGAGTGAGCTCCCAGCAAAGACTCATCGCTACAAAATTACCCATAATGGCTTTTGACTGAAACATTACTGTCAGATAAATGAAAATGTGCAAGAGTGCCCATTACACTGTGTTATGTTAAATATGAATTTCAGATTACTTGGCATTGCTCATTTAACAGTCGAGCAGGCAATGCATTTTCACCTCAAACGTGATATGTGTTACAAAACGCATGATATGGCTATTCATTGAA